TGCTTTAACCCGCTGCGCCACCAGGGAGGGCCAGATAAATCTTTTTAAAAAGTTACAGACCTTGAGATAGAAAGACAATTCTGGATTATTCATGTAAGTACTAAATGAAAGCAGAAGTAACTTTATAAAGCAGATATAGGAGATCTGATAGACAGAAAAAGGAAAAGTGATAACAGAGCCATACAATGGAGTTATGCAACTACAAGTTATGAAAAAGCCATCAGTCACCAGAAGCTGAAAGAGGACAGAAACGAATACTTAGAGATGCTGAGGCAAGTATGGCACTGGCAAGACCTTGATTTCAGTCGATCAAAACTGATTTTGTACTCCTAGTCTCCAAAATTGTGTAAGAATAAACTTTTGTTGCTTTAAACTGCCAAACTTATGGCCATTCATTACATCAGATTCAGAAAACTAATACACATTTTGGTATTAAAATTGTGGGCTGCTGTTAACAAATGGAAAATGAAACAAAATGGCTTTGAAATTTGATAGTGAAAGGAGGATGAAAGATACTAGCAGTGGCTGACAGAAAGGCTTACATTTGCTTGAAGAAATTTGTTGAAATATCAACATTAAAGGCAGTGCTGGTGAGGGCTTAGAAGGAGGTGAGGAACACAGAAGAAAAAGTCAATATTGTCTGGAAGAGTATCTCCATCACCATAAATACATGTTAGTATCAACATGGATTTTAAAGTAGTTGGCAGAAAAGTATCAGAAGGATGCAAGGAATGTAATTTTGGTAACTAGAGAACAGGAAATTCTTGTTACATAGTGGCAGAAAACTTAGTAGAATCATGTCCTATAGTTAGTTGTATGGAAAGCAGAACTTATGAACTATGTGCTTGAAAAACGAGCCAAAATAAGATTTCCAAGCAAATATGCAGAAGGTACTGCCTGGTGACTTCCTTGCTACTTATAGCAAAATGTGAGGTACAAGGAGTAAATTGAGCTTAAGAACAGTTATGCAAAAGGAATCAGGAATTCGATGACTAAGGAAATTCACAGACTCTCCAAATTGCAACAGATGGTAACAGGAAATTCACTATTAAGAACGTGTGTTCTAGTATCAAGGGTGTGGATGAACAAGGTTTGGTTAGTACTAAAGAAATTAAACATGTGACTCATGAATACCCTTAACCATTTCAGTGGAAATTAGAAATAGAGTAGGAATTACCCCAAAAAGATTTGTAGCACACTCTGATTCAATGAAACAGATCTCTAAGACATACTTAAGCAAGTCATAAGGTTTTGAGGATGTTATACCAGAAGGAATATTACCAGCCTTGACTGAAAAGGACAGAGACAAGGTAAAATAAAAATAAAGCCTTTTCAGTCCCCAAACTCTACAGACACTCAAGACAGATAAAATAACTCAACTGGCCCTCCCTGGTTGCGCAGCAGATTAAAG